GCGATACGCGCTCGCGCCGTACGTAAATAGCTCCGTTTGAGAGCTGTATGAGTCGCCAAGATTGTCGCCAGACTTGCGCGTTGCAATTATTATTGTCACCATCACCGTCCCAGGCGCAGCGGATACAGCGATTATCCAGTGACGAAACCACCGGTGCTTTTTACGACGACAGTACCTTGCTCAGACGCGCCTTATCGCCTCCCACGACAACTCTGAACCTGTCTTTCCCTCGCGACGGGCAACATCTTTCAACTTTGCGCATGCGATATACTCCATGGCGATGACTCCCGATCCTAGTGCACCACCACCTCCACAACCCAACTTGATAAGCGGCGCGTCGGCCAAGCCGCAGCACTCCAATCGTAGCAGCCCGTTTCCGACCATAACTACAGCTTCCGACAAAGCTTCCTCCATGCCTGCTACCTCAAGTTTCTTGCCTGCGGCGCAGACCTTCAGACCCTCCCATTCGACTCAGTCGCCCTACCCGCTCAATATGTCAACCGCCCACCTGTTCGAGCGCGAACCCACCAAACCCGTCGGTACACCATTCTCAAGCACACCTACACCCATGGTCCGCGTTCTCATCCGTCGCCTACCTCTCAATACTTCTGAAGAGTCATTGCGCCTGATGGTCGTGTGGTCCAAGGAACTAGCCGACGTGGAGCTGCTGCCCGCTGACAAGTCCGAGGATGACGGCTTTCGTTCAGCTCTCTTGCGATTCAGAAGCATGGCTGGGGCACAGGAGGCGAAGAAAATGCTGGATGGCCGATCCAACATTTCCAACGACGCCGAAATGATTGTGGAAGTCTTGTCAAATAGCCCACCGATAGCCAGACGAAACACGGTCGAGCAAGCGTCTGCCATGCCGCCGGTGACTTCATCAACAGGGCCGGCACCAGTTCCAGCGTCCCGACAACCTGCACGCTTCAACGGTTTCCAGCCTTTGGATAATAGCGTATCGCCGACTTCAAACAGCGTCTTCCCCGCTCATGAATTCATCCACCCTGATGCCAACCCGCACTATCAAAGCATTTTTTCTCCTCAATCGCCCATTGGGAACCACCTGAGCGAGCGCCCAAGGATATCTGGCAAGTCTCTTATTAGCAGCGATTTCGGGGACGATGACGAAACGAGTGATCTTCTCAAAGACCCTGTTGCCTATGCTGAGAACGGAGCCACCTCGCAGCGCAGAGCTACCGCTCCCCAGATTCCCATTGGACGCATGGCTGGATTGTCGCTCAACACGAACCCTTCTCAGGGTCCGGCATCTCTGCCGCCATACATTACTCCACTATCGCCAGCCAATGCTCCGGCGCCTGGGCTCGGATATCCTGTCAATGGTCACAGTTTCCCGCGACATAACTTCCCTCCGGTGAATCCGGCTGACCAGAATCCACCATGCAATACTCTGTATGTTGGTAATTTGCCCATCGACACATCTGAGGAGGAACTCAAGGCCATGTTCTCCAAGCAGCGAGGGTACAAGAGACTCTGCTTCAGGACAAAGCAGAATGGGCCAATGTGCTTTGTGGAATTTGAGGATGTCTCTTTTGCCACGAAGGCCCTTCACGAACTTTACGGCCAGCCGCTCCATAACAGTGTCAAGGGCGGCATCCGGCTGAGCTTCTCAAAGAATCCCTTGGGCGTGAGATCCGGCCAAGCTCCTGGTCAGGGGGCCAATACCTCCATGAGTAATATGACGGGAATGATGAGTAATGGCACAAATGGGTTTGCTACTACCCATGGCCCCCCTCCGGGGCTTGCTGCACCACCTGGCCTAGGAAGCGGCCAAGGCAACTATAACTTGGCCTCTGGGATCATGAACACTGGCAGCGGTCGACCATACAATGCGGCTGGATTCCCTGGTGGACCTACCCATCCGTGGAATACTCCTTACAACAACAGTGTTGCCACGGGGCCGAACAGTGGGCTTAATAACAACTCATCGTACTTCCCAAGACACATGATGGGGAGGTAAGGGTGCATCCCAAACGAGGTCTAAACGAGGTGGAGTAAGACTTTGTTCTATCTGATCCTTTTTTCCCCCTTTCGTCTGGGTACGTTTCGTGGCCGATATTTTTCCCCGCTTGGGTTGAGATACCTCACATTTCATCGAATCTTGGTTTATACAGCGTCAAGCATCAATTATGTCAAGACATTGAAAAGGAGTTGGTGCGTTTTCTTCACTATGGTGAGACTTTATACACTTGTTAGCGAAAAAAAAAAAACAACCACCAGATACTCTTCTTTTATTTTTTTTTTCCCCAAGGGAAAAAAAAGGGGGGAGAAGAGGGGAGGGAAAAAAAGAGAAAAGGTTGAGCGATCAAAAAAAAAAGGAAAAAAAAAGGAACAGCAAGGGTACAGAGACTATCTGTAGGAAAACAAAACAATATTGGAAAGGTCACACTGGATTTGGAGTTTATGACAGGTTGATGGTTGGGACTCTTTACGATATGGAACACAGGACGCATGGCATTGATTAAAGCTGGACAGGTTGCATGGTGTCGCAATACACCCGAGATACGGAGCACATGGAGAATACCCAAAGAGAGGGCGTACTTTTGCATTTGCATGGAGCGCGTCAAAGAGGAGTGTGTCTGTATTCGTGGATTTCTTGCTATCGGGCCTGCAAATATTTTCGGGCGGGCAAAGATTCATGCATCTAGGAAATGTCTGGTATGGCTCAAAATGGGTTGCATTTTGTTAGGTCAGAAGGGTTTTTATGGCGCAACACAAGGCATGGGCAAGGTATCTTGGACTCTTTTGCGACTGGGGATGACGGAATACCTGACGGCGTTCGGGAAAGGAAACCAGACAAAGAGACCAGACAGTCACCTTGCTCTGGGTTCTCTGGTTCTGGGTGCGATTCTTCTCTTGGTACTCTGGTCCTCTGGAAGACGCGTCTTGGGACCGGTCCCTTGCTTGTCTCGAGAGACCAAGACATGGCGTTGCATTGCATCGAGTTTGTGACTTTTGTTACGTTGGGTTGTAGTTACTGGTTCTCTGTTTCCTTCCATTTCTTGATTCCCCCTTTCGTTTTCAACGGCAAAGTCAGGATGCATCACGGCTGTTCTTTTTTTTCCCTTCTCTTTCTTTTTCAACCAGAGCGGCATTTGGGGACCACATTATGCATCGAGGGTTTTGTGTTTGCCATTTTGATTCGAGTTTGTCTCGTCGTCGCAGAAAGTTCCTTTGTTGGTACTGTTACGCTTTGTCTTTTTCGCACATTCTCTTGTCGCTGCCGCGCTTGTTGGGTGTTATGGCTTAATTCGGTTTTCCTATAGTCTGATGGCTTGCTATAGAAGTTTATTTCCCGATAACACGGCATGCAAATGCCAAGTTCTCGTTGACCGCGTTTGCAATGACTCTTCTTCTTGACTTTTGCATGTACGTGTGCGTCTTGTCAGTGTCATGTAAACATGTAAATACGTGAGCCTCGCGCGTGATTTGTAGACGGTGTTGGACGGTAGAATGCCTCGGATGAGAGGAAAAGTCTGAAGCGGCGGAAGCCTTTGGCCGTGCTGTTGCGCCCATTGCCCTTTGTTGATGCTGCGTGACCAAGCTAGACTTGTATCCGAAGTTTCTACAAAGGATGAACAGCCCTGTTTCATTCCATGTGTAGACGGTGAGTTGAGGCTGCAAAACGGAGATTCCGCGTTGGATCCCGGGCATAATGAAGCATGATTTGATGTATAACAAGACGGCAAGAAGCGTCTGGTAGGCATAGGAACAGGAACAGGGGCAGCTGGATACCGACCCCCTCGCGCGTGTCTGCTGGCTTCTTTGTCCCTTTGCCATGTAAATAGTACTATTGGAAGTGCCGCAGATGGTGTGAAGACGACGTGTGGCAACGACAAACGGCGGGTCAAGACTTGCTGAAGGCTGCCGGCGACAGGGGACGCGAAGGGGAGAAACCCAGGAGTTGCAAAGTTGCCGTCGGGGGGCTTGGTCTTGTTTGGGAAGTCTTGGCGCTCGGGGCTGCCGTTGTGTTTCTTTCATTTTGGTGGCAACGGGAACTTGCGTGTTGCTGATTGTGAGTTGTCGTGTGTTGCGGTTTGAGGCACGTTTCGGTGCCGCGACATATCTAGCCCGTTCGGAGAAACCAGCGATTTTGCATGCCGACTCGCGAAGGACTCGGAGATGGATTGGACTGTGGGCATTTACGAAGCAGCCACTCGAGTTAGTTACTTGGTCACGCGTGCACTCAAGTGCGGTCTCGGTCAAAGGCGCAAGCGAATCGCAAGTCTGACACTCAAAGTGGTGATTTCAACGGCGTTTGTATCCAAGAACACGACATACCAGGGCCAGTCAGGATTTCCGTATTGTATTGAATGTGCAAACGCGGTGTTTTGTCATCGCTGGCTTCATTTACATCTGCCAGTGAAGGCCACATCAGCCCAAGTATTCGAGAACACTTGGAGGACACTTTCTTCTTCATCCCGTTCGTCGAGCCTGGGGCATGTCCTGTGAACAGACAGAAAAGAATCCCGCAGAATTCATCTGGCCTTTTGCCCAAGAGGATCCCAGTGAATAACCACGATGGCGGGATAAACGCCATTGAAGACGGAAAGATGGATTGCGGGTCTTTTGACGCTTTTCAGCCACAAAATCCACCTGTTTCATCTGAAGGAGGCTCTTATATAAATCACTAAACACTGATCAATATTCTTCTACAGGAAAAGCCGCTGAACAGGGCTGGAGTGGACCACGCAGATATCACTTTCCATTCTCAAAGGGTTGAACATGAAGTATACAGCTGCCCAACTTGTGGAAAACCACGGGGAGCTGTACGCCCGCCTTTGATCATCGGCGCAGCTACAGACCTTCCAGTGTGCTATAAAACATCCCATTGCACCGATATCTGGTGCTCGACAAGTACCGACGTGTAAATATCCCTTTCTTAGAAAAAAGTCGACAGACCCAGCGCCCCTTTCTCGTGCAGTTTCGAAAACCACCCAAGACACACCTGGCTTGGCCACCCAGGAGTCCCGTCTGCAACTATGGATCACTTTGACGAGAAGCCAATAGATTTTTGTGATGAGCACATGCCCCAGTACCCGGCGGCTTACTTCAACAACATGTGCAATCGAGAACTGTACGGCTGGGTAATGTTCGAGCGCCGCGGGTCAGTCACCCCAATCTCCCTCCCCCCCAATCGAAACTTGTATTCGCCATCTCGACTCTGACATGTCAAATAGTGAGATACTGGTTTCTGATCCGGAGAACCTGTCTGAAGAATTCAGGGCCAGAGCAAGGTACGCAGATCCCACAAACATCACCTAGAAAAGTAACCGTGGCAGGGGCTAACTAGTATTCCTCGTCTTCTTCAGAGCAATCAACATTGACGATCTTCCGGCAGGCAACCCCACCGAATGGGTTCTTCCAAAATACGACCTCGAGGCCGAAAGACTCAAAGACGTTGTCAAAGAGCAACTCGACTGCTACCGCGAACTGGAGGAAGACGGACACCCGCCCTGGTATCACAGCTCGCAAATCCAACATGTCGTCTACAACGCCAAAGACCTGCCGGGCATCACAGAGCCCTGGAGGGGCAAGTACGACGACGGCAGCCGCGTCCTGTCCAAGCAGCTGCTGCTATGGAAGAAGTTTCGGCGCTGGCAGGAGTGGCGCCGCGAACGAGCAGATCATGTCGACCTCGGGAGAGAATCGCTTGGCCGCCTGGTGAAACTCGGAGTCGGGCACCTCTCCGAATTTGCGTTGGAGCCAGACGAATTCGAACAAGACGAGGCAACGACACTGCTGGAATATCTCGACTTTATCGACTTGTATTATGCGCCGAACCGTGCCCTTTTGCAGAGCTGCCAAGGAGCCCATGACGAAAACCGTGCAAAATGGAAGGCTTTTGAACAAACATACTTTCAAAAGAGGGCAAGAAAATGTATGGTTACAAGAAGAGGCCATGCCGCAGGGAACATTAGCCATGTAGGTGGCGCCGCAGAGACCCCAACGGGTCGAGCACTCATGGAAAGGTACAAAGAAGGCGTGGCCAATCTGGAAAACGCAAAGCGCATATATGGCCTTCGCCATGCCATTTGGGATCGGACCGTGGCTGAACTGACCAGACGTGGGAGACGTGAGCCCGACGCTGTCGACGGTCCCTATCCGGAAGCACCACTCATTTCCAGGGATTCAATGACAGAAATTAAGACTAAGGGTGCTGGCGAAGCTGTGCTCCAGACATACCTTGGACAGGACCAGGATGAAGAGGTGGTGGACTATAGATCACGCAACCAATGGACATGGCAAGGACCAAGGCGGTCACGGATAGATCAGGGGCCAGCATATTCCCCGGGTCATTTGCGACTCAGTGCCGGAAATTCTGTAGTGAATAGTTTGGCAAAAGGTCTCAAACTTGGCAGAGGAGGTTAAACTGTGGTTACCGCCTTGGCTGTTTTTACTGTGTGTGTTTTTTCTTTTTTCTTTTCTCCCCCCCCTTTTTTTTGGCTTACCATGGATCGACTGGATTACAAACCCAATGGGTTATGGGAAACCATTATAGCCAAGTAGGGCTTGTTGAAAGAGGCTATTTTGAATGAGATATCGCTCGTCATTGTTACACCGACACTCAAGAAAGGCGCTTGGTGGAAACAAGATCAAAGGAGAAGAGACGTTTCTCATTCAGTGCTGTTGACGCAAATGCTTGCTTTGTCCACCCTCTTCAATATTCAGAGTCAGAAAATTACTGTTTTAGTATACATTGTTAATAAAAGAGACAGAACATACCAATCGCCATCACAATTCGTCGTGCGTCCACCCCATCGTCATCGCCGTCCAGAGATCTTGAAATACGGGTTGCCCATCAGGTCCCTCGCCCAAAGCCTCCATCATCAGCGGCGGATTGAGCGCAGCATCCCAAACAGGGAAATACGGCTCCACGCTTCCATCAAGCATTGGACATGTGATCCGCGCCGGGCTCTTGCTCTGACGCTCCACGGCCGCCAGCCGCTTTTGATACTTTTCCCGCACGACACCCATGACAGTTCGACTTGCAGATAGAATGCCCACTTTCTTGGAGGCGGGTGTGAGATCAGATTTTTGCTGCGACATGCGCGCTAGGAAGTCGTCCAGTTTGAGCTGTGACCGCGCCCACTCCGAGTCCCAATCAGGGCATTCTGGAATTCTAAAGGACAGTCTGATGCCGAGTATCGTGGCTAAGATGGGGCGAGACCAGTCAACGATTGTAAAGCAGGAGAATGCGGCATCTTCTAGGCTCATGAGCTCCTGGTAAAAGGCGGCTGTGCTGTACACGCAGTCGTGTAATTTGGCGTTTGCCAAGGGGGAAGGCTCCAATTTATAGGATTCAGAAGGGGGTGGCCGGGGAAACCTGAGGAGTGTGCCGCTGTCGAGGAACACTTTGATGAAGAGGATTTGTATTTTCAGCGATACTTGCGTACAAGGTTAGAATCTGTTTGTGGGAAGAGGCAGCAATGGTTCAGGGTTCAGCTATTGACTAACCCGACATGTTGAGCGGAAAGGCCAGCGATGATTCGATCTGAGCCAACTCAAACTTGAAGCCAGCCACCATGATGCATCTGTCTTCATCCACTTGGTCATATTTGCCATTCAGCGTCTTCGTCGCCTGACACAAGATACGCGACACGCGAGTCTGTGCGGCAAGGACGAGGTCGCCCTGCGTTTTGCCATGCTTTTCGAGCATCTCACAACATCTGGCTGTCCACGACGTATATGGTATATCAATTCCCTTGCTGCGTTTCCAAGTAGCGAGGAAGCTGAGTAACCTGGTGAGCAAGTGGAATACCTCCAATACATGGATGAAAGACTCACGACGACACTACATAAAAGTAGCCCACATACACCCGTATTCGGTCAAGTTGCTCGTCTGTGAGATTGGGCGTATCTGACCACATGTTAAGATCTGGCTGTTCTTGATCCAGCTCCAGGTCATGAACCATATCTGCAGCCATTCTCATGTATTGGAAGGCTTGTTTGTTTTTGGGTCTTAGATGAAAGGGATACCTGTTGGTGTTAGTAACTACAAGAGCAAGAAAAAATAACAAGAAGCACCATTGAACATAAGGGTCGCTATGGACATCCATACCAAGCACAATATATGAGCAAACCTTGAAGTAGTTCCAGGCTCCTCTCGCCGCCCGCAACAAACTTCAATCCCAGCACTTTTCTAAATTCCTCATCGTACAAGGTATGGCCCTGTAGCGTCTTGGAGCCAGAAGTAGACGAAAGTATCGACAGCAGAACAAACGGCTTCGCCGCAGCCATTTGCTTAATAGGGATATCCTCGGGCAAGGTGATGAAGGGAAAATATGTCAACATGGAGCGGAAGGACGTCAAGAGTGACTCGGCAGATGCCACGTTAAATGACGGCTTTGTGTGAAAGTCATGAATAGAATGGGACTGTGCGGACGAGGACTTCGGGGTCTGGAAACTCGACACAGAGTCCGGAAAAGGAGACATTTCTTCGTCATCTTCGGGAAAGAGCCTGTCGATTACTACATGGTGCGTGTCGCGCAGGGTCTCAAAGTTGTCGTCGACTTCTGATCCCGTGGACACGGAGAAGTCGATGCTGAATGTGCTGGATGGACCAGGAGGAGCGGCTTGAGCCTGGTGGAGTCGTTGGTCTTGAGGGCTTTTCAACGAGCACATTTAGCATGAAGATGACGATTGTCTTGTCAAGTTCCAAAGGGGCAAAACGTGGCACACCTACCTGGCATGTTTTCTAGGACGACGAGGTCGCGGAGTAGTTCGAGAGATGCATTCTCTTTTGGACTCTAAGCATCTAAGCTCGATTGTTAGCAGCGTCAAGGGGTGATGATGATGTGGCTTGATGATAATAATGCTTGCATGGTTGGACACTACTTTTTGCAGACCCCCGGCTGGTCGCTGGGCTGGCACCGGATCTTAGTGGCTCGACAGGCTTCGCACGCAGTAGCCACTCTCTTTCGAGCCGGGTTGTCGCCTACTCCAGCATCCAGGTTCATCGTATCGGTGCCAAGTCTGGGGAAGTTTAGGTGTTGACGGGGTCACTCGTTCATGCGGCACATTGGTTCGTGGCGTGACTTAACCCGTCTGTTCGTGTGATTAGTTGACGACAAGTTTAGTGCAAGGCTAATCTCTACTACAGAGTAGGAAGTGATCTGGGGCCGTGGACAAGGCAAGTCGGTACCGCGTGGAGGGTGATGGGTCGTCCGAGTGAGAGTGACGTGGGGGGAAGGCTGGATATCCGGACCCGGTCGGATATCTAAGTTATCTATCTGGACGGGATGTAACTTTATGGCACATGCACTAGGTACCTAGGTATCTGTTCTACTTCACTTGCCGCCATCTGTACGGATCAAGGTGTACCGAGTACATGCAATGATTTGAAAAATAGTGAATCGCAGTCAACTAATAAAGTGTCTTAACAGAGCTGCTACGGTGGGTGTGCCTCTTGATATCGAATCACTTGGTCGAGTCAACCCACAGGTACAGTCTGTGGCAGAACATAAGACATAGTATCATATACAGCCCGATAGCCAGATACATGATCTAGTCAAATATTTTTTGCTCCACTGTACGTCTCTAAACTTATCCGACCCTCCAGTATCGACAGGCGAGTTCTCAAACGTTTTGTTCCAAGTCATCGGTAAACCGACGATGGAATAACTTCTGGAATGTGCAACGGAGAGCGTCACTTCGAGACTAGTTGTTAGGGCTAGCTACATTGAGAAAGGGTAATACTTGGGTTAGGTCAGTTACAATGACCTGGTTTGTGGCTCGTTGACGGTACGAGAGTGTTCCGTCACATCTTTGTCAACTTGACGAAATACAGTAAACGCTGTAGCCCATGTTTTACAATATCTAGTGTGGCAGGAGTATGGGCATAGTAGCACCCATCACTCCACAGGTAAAACCTCAAACATGCCAACGCCGCCAAACACCAAGCTATAATACAGCACGACTCGATCAAATCAATCCAGTTGGGTCATTTTCAAACCTGGATTTTTGTTCTCTAGCGTAGAGTCCACAAAAGTTTGCAACGGACTAGTCAGACTCGACGCTTCTTCCCTGACAGTTTTCACTCCGTGTCTGCTTTGTCTATGAGCCGAAATGTTCACGACGGCGCACCGCTCGGAACAGTACACCGTAGCCTGCTTCGAGTCCAGACACGCCGTGCAGAGAACTGCCTTTGATATCGCATCCCCCATTTCGACATCTTCGTCGGTCAGCTGTAGGCACTTATCGCCAGCTTCGCAGTCATGCCGGGAACCAACGTGTTTATCCTATGCCGCCATTAGCACTGCTGCTATTGATTGCTAAGTGACAAAATAGATCCACGTGTACTACTCACATGGCCCTTGGAGTAGCATTCCTCTGAGCAGTAAACTGTCAGCTCTGCGTCTCCGCCGATCTGGACAAGTGCTTGGCAAAGAGTACATGACAGAACATCATTGGTGTCAAGTCTGTTCCCACAGACCAAACAGGGCGGTAGATCGTACAACTCGGAACCAGCGTTTTCAGTTTGAGCTCCCCGCAGGCTCTTAGTCTGCATCTTGTTCTGCTCAAATGCTGTTTTGGCTCTTCGAAGCTCATCCAGGCGCCGTTGGTGGCTCTCGCGCTGCGGCTGTGCGTTTCTGCTTTGTTGAAAGTCCAGCACGATTTTGTCGATAATGTCTTCGAGTGTCATGCCCTCGCTGTTTCTATACTCGTCAAGATATTTTTGGGCGTTTGTAAAGGCCTCGCCTGTTGACTGGTTAATGAAGAACTCGGCGATATACAGCTTCTTCAATTCAGCAGCGTCATCTTTAACAGCGCCTGCCTTTTCTGCAAAGCTGTCAACGCCATCAGGCCAGTCAGGGGGCTTCCCAATGCCCTCCAGCATTGTTTTTACCAGCTCCTCCCGCGATCTATCTGGATCATCCAGCATGCCTCGTAGCTCTTCCTGGTTGAGTCCACGATCAGATACGGCGATGAATTCCGGGTATCTCCTCAGAACCCAGCGGTACCAAGCCTCCTTTTCGGATTCTATCCTGGCTTCAATAGACTTGAGGCTCCGCTTTCGCTCTTTAGCATCTTGAAACAGGCCATCGAGTTCGTGCAAAAACGCCCTTCTCTGTGCAAACCATTCTCTGTCCTCGCTCTCGCCATATCTAGCCCGTAATGTGTCCATCAGCTTGCCGTAGCACTTTTGGCATTCGGTGAAGTTTTCTTTGCCGCATTGTGCCTTGCATGATGTCTTGATGGCACCCACTGCCTCGGCACAAAGCTTCTTTTGACGCCTAGCGACGTTGAGCTCCGTCCAGTGCTCGGGCATAGCATGGGCTGACGGAGTACCCATTCTGGCTAATGTGAGGTAATATTTTTGGAGGGCTAGAGGGCCGATTATTTCGCATTTATATAGAGACCTGATACCAGCTATTCATACTATTGGCGTCTGATAGCATTCAAGTTGGAAGGTGGTGAAAGTGAGTCGTGTAACGGAGCTGGTAGAGTGAGTCTTTGAAATGAGGGCTCTTGTTGACGTAGGAGAAGATACTTCTAAACGCATTCCGGAATTAAAGTCTAGTCCAATTTTTTTTTTTTTTTTTTTTCGCAGAATGGGATAATTCGCGATGAAATATTAAACCCGAACATCATCTTGTCAATAGTAAGCGGGTTGAGAGATGCGCCATGTGCCGAAGTTCAAGCGGCGACTGACCCACAACAACTTTCTGCAAAGCAACTGGTGACAGTATCGTCGCTGTCTCCTGCCAAGAGCTCATACAGTATTTAACGAGACGTGTTCCCGATATTCCTGGATTGAGTCGCAGACTGTATATCAACAGTGATATTCTGCGTAAATCACCGCCACTCTACCGCCGAAAATGGTGCGTTCAACCACTAGATATGCCAAAACCCAGCTAACAGCAAATAGGCTGACAAGCTCCGCACTCAACAAGAGCTCGAACGCCTGCAGGCAAAATACATTGGAACCGGTCATCCCGATACGACAAGCTGGGAATGGCGAACAAACATTCAGCGCGACACATATGCTTCCATCGCCGGCCATCGACCGTTGTTGTCCTATGTGGCTCTTGCCGAGAACGAGCCGCTGGTCAAGGTTCGCGCAAGAATGATTCGGGTACGAGGCTTCCTTATAATGATACCATGGTACCAAACTCGTCAGCGTGCTAACTTTGATCTTACAGAAAATGATTCAACCCGCCGGCCCGCCCCCACCTCGTGAGGAATAATGTGTCAAACTGGAAGGTACGGGAAAGAGAGGAATGCATCAAAGAATGGAGTTCCTGGGTATTGGCTGTGTTTCTATTGCATTAGAAGGCGTTTTTGGGGCGTTTTTGAGGACAAATACCCGCGACTACAATAAATATCTAGCGACGGATCGTGAGATTCCTGAATATTTACTGCCGTTCCGTGAACGTTGCCTGAGACTAGTCTGTTTCCAAGTCTTATGGGTATCATTAGCCCAAAGTTACGGCTGACCGTCTTCATACTCGTTCCCCACTCGTTTCCGCTTCATCTCCTTCATCCCTCATCGTTCGCAGCTCCTTTATGCCAAGACTAGCCTTCAGCTTCTTCTCCAAGTCCTCTGATGACCCCCCGTACAGCTCTCGCACCAATCCAACCACACCGTCCAGCCCAATTTCTTCTTTTGCTCTGGGCCCAACATGCCATGTGATGGTTTGCTCGCCATCTTGGCCAAGCGGTGGACGCTCTACCCTTTTGATGACATAGCCGTGTCTTTCCATTTTCTTGAGCGTCGTTTCGGTCTTCTCACTTGATACATTTTGGTCGGCATTCAAGCGAAGAAGATATCGCCTCAGCTTCTGTTCGCTTAGTTCGCCGCCATTTAGCCAAATGAACGACACGACCAGTGTATAGAACGCAACATATGTTGCCTCATCGTCCGAGGTAGGAATTCTGGATGGCTTTATGATGGCTGCACTACGATATTCGTCTGGTAAAGTTGATGTCAGAATATAGGCTCCAGATCCAATTTTCGTCTGTGAATTCGACTTCATGGCTATAGAAATGGGGTCAGCATTTCCTTGGGGGCTGTCGAGCCAAATCCACCAGCTGTTCGGGAGTACCTTGTCTTTTCTCCTGCAGGGACATTTTTTCTCTGACTGGGAGCTCTCGGAGCTCCATGCCCCAAACAAGTTTCAATTGCTTTTGCGCCAGCGCGAATATTCTTTTGAAAGATCGCCCTTGGTTGCCAAGAACTTGAACAGCGTCAGTATTTATCTCATTTTCCCTCAACTTGCAATTGCTTCACCTCTCTCCTTAATACCATCACGACGTATTGGCGTCCGTGAATATTCGCATGATAAGGCATAGCGAACGAGCTTCTTGGCGAGCTGGTCATCTGCACTGCTGCCAACCTCACCATCGACATCCATACCATCCTCAGAGTCTTTGTCGTAATAATTATCTGGATCAGGGCGAATCGCTCGCCGCCTAGGCGGTAGGCCGTCTTCTGGGTCTTCATCATCCACCTGCAAAAGATATTATTAGCCACGCAAGCTACTTACTCACTGGGAACGTAGGGTCGTACAGGCCGCCTTCTCCTTTGTTTCGGGGGCATTTTGCCTTCCACGGAGTAAGTGATAAGTGGCACCACCAGACTGTCACAAAAGGAAAATGTCTTCAGGATAATCAGAACTCGAAATTGGAGCGCATGTCGTGTAGTTGATCTCTTCCGTGTTGATGGCGGGGCGTTAAGTGGATGGACGCGATACAAGTCACCAACGCGTCTGCATTTATGGCATTTAATATGGAGCACTCTACGGAGTACGCCTGGTGATTCTTATCGATAAGCCCTGACGTCGCAAATTTCCAGGAGCTCATGTACGGCCATCTGGGATCCCAATGCTATGCGTCGTCAAGCAGAACAGCTCTTCATTCCCTCCTGAACCCGTTGCATCGTCTGTATTTTGATTTCCCCATGCTCGCGAGGGCGACACGACTGCCGCGCATATGCTTGGTATGCCGTCTGGGCATACTTCGCCAAGTCGCTGCTGTACCAATTCGATGCCCATCAAGCACTACGGACCGACGACTAGTACGTTATGCCTCCGATTTCTCACCACAAAGTAAGGAGAGAATAGAGAAGCTCATATCAGGAGCGCTCGACGATATTGAATCGCATTCCAAGGATAGCGGCGTCAGAAAACCCCGACTCAATCAAAAAAGACAGTGCCAGCACCGAGGCGATGTTCATAATGAACCTGCTAAACGAGAGCTTAAGCCAGGGAAAGCCTCCGGTTTACCCGACACTGGCGATATAAATGTGACCGAAAAATTGAATACCTCTATTGAAAATGCGCCGATTCGGGAAACTTCAACCAGCGAAGAACCATCAACACGTCCTCAGCCGATGTCAATGCGTGGAAGCCAGCCTTGTCTCGAGACTGAGGAGCTACGCGACGAATTCATGTACCGTCATAGCCTAGGAATGGACGCTCTGGGCAAACCTGTCGATGCAATTATTATCAAGAACCCGAACAGAATTAGGGCTACTAAGAAGGGAACAACTCGGAGCATGAAGGAAGCTCAGCATGTTAATGGGACCGTGGCCCCCTTCACTTGGCGGGACGTTATACCCCAAAAGGAAGAGGTAGACGAATCAGGTTTCTCGAAAAAAATCTCTGAAAACATTGAGGAGATACGACCCAAAGACACCGTCATTATCAGAAGGAAAGATTTCAACAAGTTGGTTGATTACCTGGTTGATGGATTCACTGCATCACAGCTTAAAACATACCTAGACCCTGCAAACCGTAACAAGATTCAGGGTCATGCTGAAGCACACCTGTATTCTTGGCTAACTGAGCAAAGTCCATGGGCTGCTGCCGAGCCATTGGATTTGGGCTTACACAGGCCAAAGCAACAGCAAGCAGTCGCAATTCTGACTGAGGTGTGGAAACTGGAGATTCAGGAGCATATAGAGGGAATTGGGAGAACTGTCGTCTGGCTGAAACCAGATATTTTCAGTCTGATTGCCAGTAAGATCAGCCACGTGGAGCATTGAACTGCTGGGGCTAACATGTTCCCACAGATCTCCAAAGCGGCATCATCGGGAGACTCAGCGCCGATTTCCTGGACAAGTCAAACAAGGAAAGAATAACTTCAAGGCCAGAAGACCATAGGCTAAGCATTTACGCCCGCAAGTCTACTGTTTCTACAATTTTGGCACGACTTGACGAGATCGTGCAGACGATAAAATCTCAAACGATTTCTGTTCAGCGAGTGAATCAAGAAAACCTAGAGACATCAGTCTTAATGGAGCTTGAGAAAATAACAAAGACTGCTTTGAGGTATAATGCAATCACCTCCGTACGTTAAAACTTGTGGTGCCTCTTCATGCAGCGAACGCTCGGCTAATGATCGTACAGACGCTCGATGTATCATGGCTCGCCGAAACTGATGTCTCCAACGGAAAGACAGAAGGTCCAGCTGATATTGTTTTGAGACTTCTCATTGGCCGAGAAACCTCATCACAACACGCAGATGTTCAAATTCTTCCGAAGACTCGACCAAAGAAGGGGGTATTCCTGACCCATCAGAGGGATAAACGGGGCATGGCTTGGAGAGATAAGCTCCGGTACTGGTCTCGTTACGTCAATCCTATCGGTAAATCGACAGAGGAGACTCAGAGTCCGGGCTTCCGCGACAGTATCATCCTGGAACAACCCGAAGCATCATCTCTCAAAGAAAATACTGAAGTCACAGCAGTATTTGGCCACATACTGCACACCAGACAGGACACTCGCAAAGCTTATCTGGCCAAATCTCGCCGGGTCCTTTGCCCAATTATTCCCCATCCTGCCGCTCTTACTTCAATCACAGCCGACACTTCTGCTCCGAGTACCCAAAAAACAGCCATCATCCTCAATTTCGCGCCTGAAAGCCCACCAGAAACCTCCCCCCCAGGCACCAATCCTCTTGTTCGTTTACGGCTACCAATCAACCCGTTCACTGACCTATCCAAATTTTCGTTCCCGGATGCATCAGTGTTAGAAGCAGTAATGCCGTGGCAAGAAAGCGACATTATGCTCCCGGACAACAGCGTAGATGTTCGCCTGACTCAAAAGCGACTGGTTCCTCTCGATGCCAGTCAACATTCTCTCCAGGCGTTTTGCCAAGCTTCCGATTTCAACCTCCTACAAGGGCGTCTAAGAACACCCAGCAGGACCAGCTTCGCTATCCCACGTTTTTTAACTGCTCAACAGAGCACCCCGTCAACAGAGCTAGTCGCAACGCCATACATGTTCATGGGCCTTGAGATCCATCAAACCATCGATATGGAATGGCAGTCCCATACCCTTCGCTACAGCAGCACTGAAGCCGGACAACATGGCGGACAGCAGCAAATGCTTTCCCTAGTAGCCGGCCCACCGGGCGACCAAGGTAGTGCTACCACTAAACAACAGTTACAGAGTTTCTTGAAACTGGTTGAGGAAACAGCTTGCGGAGCACATTTTTCATGGGATGAAGGCTACAGACTAATGAGTGAGCGGTCTGCCGAGCAATTTAGTTGGGATATGATGGACACGGAATATGCCAAGCAAGACCTTGCTATTGCAGAAGAAACAAAACAAGGAATTGGGCCAGACCACGTTCGCGAGGGACAAGAAGCAGGGTCTCCTGATCAGCCTCAGCAAGATCTTGACACCGTTCGGATGGAGATTGAGGTGACGGATGATTCTGAGACAATCGAATCGTTGGATGAGACGCTTCGTAAGACGGAATCCACGACCGACAAATAGAAATTTTGTAATTCTAGAATAAAAACATACTTGTACAATAGTTAACCAACATATACGCATCTTTTCTAAAAAACAAATGACATGATAAAGACAAGAATAAGCCCCAGTCAAAGTGGGACATGAATGCCCCATCTATCAATTTTAAAGAGCTCCCCCACAATCGTGCGACAGGGCCATCGATGTGTATGACTCCGTATCGAAAGCTTCGCGATCCCAGCATTGGGTCTTTGGGGGTGGGGGGGGGCGAAGCACGCGAACAGGTGTCATGCAGGCTCCATCTATCTAGTCTGCTGTTGGCAGCACGTTTGACACGCATCGACGAACAGTAAAGCGCATCATATGAAGCACATCTTATTCACATGTCACGTGGCATTGGGCTAGCAGGTTGATTGCTTTTTTTTTTTTGACAAATTTTTTTTGGAATCACTTCTAGACTCTAATTTTTTTTTCACTTCCTAAGCACATCATGAAACCAATCAAACCTTGTTTCTCATTAAATGTGCCACCTAGACAAATAGCCGAGTGCTCATCCATAGCAAAGTAGATCATTTCGTCGTAGAAGTGAGAACATTATGTCCCGGTATCCAGCCCAAAAAGCAACACAAGATTTTAACGACTTCGATCGCTTATTTCTTGCCAGCCTTGGCAGCAGACTTGGTGACCTTACCGGCACCAGCAGCAGCCTTCTCAACGGACTTGATGACACCGACAGCGACGGTCTGACGCATGTCACGGACGGCGAAACGACCCAGAGGAGGGTAGTCGGTGAAAGCCTCAACGCACATGGGCTTGGAGGGAACCATCTTGACGATGGCAGAGTCACCAGACTTGATGAACTTGGGGGCAGACTCAACAGCCTTACCGGTACGTCGGTCAATCTTCTCCTTGATCTCAGAGAACTTGCAGGCAATGTGGGCGGTGTGGCAATCGAGGACGGGAGCGTAACCAGCACCGACCTGGCCGGGGTGGTTAAGAACGATGACCTGGGCATCGAAAGAGGCGGCACCAGAGGGGGGGTCGTTCTTGGAGTCACCAGCAACGTTACCACGGCGGATTTCCTTGACGGAAACGTTCTTCACGTTGAAACCAACGTTGTCACCGGGGACACCCTCAGCAAGCTGCTCGTGGTGCATTTCCACGGACTTGACTTCAGTGGTGACGTTGGAGGGGGCAAAGGTAACGACCATACCGGGCTTGAGGACACCAGTCTCGATACGGCCGACAGGGACAGTTCCAATACCGCCAATCTTGTACACATCCTGAAGGGGAAGACGGAGGGGCTTGTCGGTGGGACGCTTGGGGGGCTCAATGGCGTCAATGGCCTCAAGGAGGGTCTTGCCAGTGGACTTGCCAGCCTTGGTCTCCTTCTCCCAGCCCTTGTACCAGGGGCAGTTGGTGGAGGCCTGAAGCATGTTGTCACCGTGGAAACCGGAGATGGGGACGAAGGCGACGGTCTTGGGGTTGTAGCCGACCTTCTTGATGAAGTTGGAAGTCTCCTTGATGATTTCCTGGTAACGGGCCTCAGACCACTTGGTGGTGTCCATCTTGTTGATGGCGACGATGAGCTGCTTGACACCCAGGGTGTAGGCGAGCAGAGCGTGCTCACGGGTCTGGCCATCCTTGGAGATACCAGCCTCGAACTCACCAGTACCGGCAGCGATAATAAGAATAGCGCAGTCAGCCTGGGAAGTACCAGTGATCATGTTCTTGATGAAATCACGGTGACCGGGAGCGTCTATGAGAGGAACATTAGCATTCAAGTCGGGAGAGAAGTATCTGTCAGTTTGCACAAGTCGACATACCAATGACGGTGACATAATACTTGGGAGTCTCGAACTTCCAGAGGGCAATGTCGATGGTGATACCACGCTCACGCTCGGCCTTGAGCTTGTCAAGAACCCATGCGTACTTGAAGGAACCCTTACCGAGTTCGGCGGCTTCCTATACAGCGATGCAGATTAGCTTCATGTTTTTTTTTGGTATCTAAAAGCATCGAAAACATTGTGGTTTCAACAGCCAGACCACACTCTCGACAGCTGGCGGGGTATGAGATGCCCCACCAAAGTCCAAGACAAGGCCCCGCGAAAATTTTCGTGTCACAGTGAGGGGTAGTGGCCGACAGGCAGCGAGAAACCCAATAACTTTCATCGCCAAACGACAGCAATTCATTGAACGGGGGATTTTGGCTTACCTTCTCGAACTTCTCAATGGTACGCTTGTCGATACCACCGCACTGGTAGATCAAGTGACCAGTGGTGGTAGACTTGCCGGAGTCGACGTGGCTGACAGGACCAGTTAGTTATTACAAAATTCGAGACGGCGAAGAGTGTAGGCTCCAAAACATACCCCTACGACGACCAAGTCAGTATAAAAGCTCGTACAAGGTTCGAAATAGAGGCAGGTGACTTACGATAACGACCACGTTGATGTGAGTCTTGTCTTCCTTACCCATTTTGAAGGTATTAGATTAGGAGATTTGCAGTAGTGTCCTGACGGAAAGTGTCTGCCAAAAGAGTCAGCTGCTGATGTCTTCCATTCATCTTCATCAATGTATTGATGAATATGAGGGCTGTTGATGAGGACCAACTTACAAATTCGCAGATCGGATGCCTGAACCGGGTATGCGAGACGAGGAGCGAAAAGAGAGAAAAATTCGTAAAGAGGTGGTGGGAGGAGGAGATTTAAAAAAGGTGAGTGGAGGAGGGGTGGAGTGACTGATGCTGGCTGCGGCGCGGGGCAACAGAGCAACGAGGGGAGACTACTTCGACCAGCTAGCCCTAACAGGCCAGAAGTTTTTTTTTTTCCCTCCCACTAGGCTGCTGCACCAAAGTCACTCACAAGATTTTTTTTTCCTTTTAGCGCCATATTGTGCGTGGCGCAAGCCAATCAGAGGTCTGGCCTTGGCCCGGTGCTTCGTCATGTACCAGATGTACCTAGGGGTCCTTTACTACCAGTTCATCTGGTCACGATGACGAGGTCAAGCCTTGGAGGGGCAAATAGCCGTTGTGGTTTACCTCAAGCCAGCCTTTGGAAACGACAGAACCATCATGATGCACAAGTGAGGAAAGCTATATGGTGCCAATCCTTGACTGAGAAGCCGTAGACGTATTCGAATATGAAGATGCACTACGGAGTACAGCACTTCTTGTTAATACAACGTGGGCGTTGCCGCGCCGCACCGCACAATGATGATGTGTGTCTGATGCTAGAGCTGCGACGATTCTGCGGCCTCAACGTGGCAGTTTGAGCGCACAGTTATTGAGTTGAATTTAATAGGACGAAACTGTCCTTTTCTCGGCGCTTCGATTCTCGAATAACATAAGATGCTGCACAAGGAACCAACATTCACAGCCAAGAGCGTCGTCCGCTTGGCATATCATCACCAACAGCCTTCCCTCGAACCTCATCATCGTGGGAAAAAGGTACATGGCATCTGCTAGCAGGTACGAAGTGGAGACCAGGTTAGAACTAGGAAGAGGGAAAAAATCAGAGGGACCCCGATTTTCCTGCGAGACAGAACCAGTCAGTTTCATCAATCTTTGCAGCCGGAGCCTGTATCTGCCCAACCCCTCCTTAGCGCAAGGCCCAAACAGAAAAAAAAAAAAATTTACCAGACATGGACACTCTCTTTGGTATCAGGTCTCTTGCTAGGTCCAAGGCAGTCACTCAGTGAGTGGTTTGTGATGAGACTCGACGGCGTGAGTCACGGCAAACGGTACGGAGTACGGCAAACTGTTAGGCAACCTGAGGCCATGGCATAACCTCTGATGGATTCAGACTTCGGGGTATACTCATGGCTATCTGATAGAATAGAGTCATGGCTCTATCTTCTTCTCAGCTACAATCTACCGTCATTGATACCTCACAACCTTCTCCCTCACAGTGAGGTGCAGGCAAGCCCCACGTCTTGAGCCCGGATGTTCAACATTGAAAGCGTTCTGGTTGTCTGGGACACCAAACACCTGCATCTCAAGTTACCGCCCCTCTCCAAACGTCATGCCCCACCATTGGGCCTCGCCACCCCGGGCAGATCCTATGAGATGATGAATATCAAAAGACTGCTGCGACTCTTTGCCGCTTGAACCACCGGTCTCTTTAGGCAGAAAATTCTCGACGAATCATTTAGGCGGTACGCGCGCAAAAGGCAGCTTAGGCCGCGAGAACTTGCGACAAACCGCCGTGTTTCCATCCAAAGCTCTTTTCATGGCGCACGAGACGAGGCTTGCATCCAAAAATCTGCAAAGAGCTGACACCTGAGCTCAAGCCACTTGGGACGGGGCCAAGGAAGGGGGGCCAAGGAAGGGGGGCCAAGGGGACAGTGAACCGGACGCCAGGCCAGTTGTCCTGGTCCCCCTGCGCAAACTGAGTTGGCAACGCTCCGTGTTCCCAGCCACAGTGGAGCTACAAGGCTCTTTGCTGTCTGGTACTACTCCGTACTCCGTACTGGACACTTCTGCAGGCAGGCCTTTATCTTTCAATGTTTCATACGTGACAGCAGATCTTTATTGGTGCGTTAAACACATCTTGCCAGCACATTCCATTTGCATTTTATGTTATTTGACATTTCATAGTATTTGATATTACATAGCAGATTACAATTCGATGCAAAATATAACGTAAAGCTACAAATTCCCATGCAGGCAAAAGAACCATAGTAAATAGTTACAATGTAAGCAATGCTCTAGTTACTACTGGCAAGAACATTTATTTCATACTCCGGAAAGCTGACGCTTGTCATGCTGTTAACTCCATACGGGCAGCCGAAAATTCACTAATTGAAATCTAATCTGTATGTTGAACTATGATTAACACCACTGTAAATCCTGGGCTACGCGCGTTCCGTCTGAGAGCTCGCATCTCGGTACCTCCGTCTGCATTCCATAACGACGTGCATGTTTCCACTGATCATACACCAGGATTCTGAATAACATCATAACGTGCCTGAAATTGGACAAGAGCTTGATGCCGTAGCTTACGAAACAAGGTTTTCTGATGGCTGTTGCTGTATCGTGATAATCCATTTGCCGAGCTGCTGCCTCGCAGTGACGAGTCGCTGAAGAGCCTAGCCTAGGCGTGGGTCACAGCGATGTCCTGCGTCAATTCCGCAACATTGACGTCGCAAGTCATTTTTGCAGACGTTCTCAGTAGCACAGAGGCCATTGCGACGTCGGTGCGTCCGGTGTTTCTCATGGACCGCGGGAAGAACATTGAATGGATCAACTTCAACGTTGAAACGCGTTTCCCCCAAAAATCTCATCACGACGCGCCAAATTCGAGCCTCAGGCATGTTTGCACGACGTTCCCTTCGTTCCTTCCCGTCTTCATTGTGGCGACAGTATACCATTCGATACCTTCTGAAGTCGCGGGTCGATAGGGACCATTTCCGCCGTTTCCAATCCCTCTCCAACTCAATGTCGTCTCTACCGCGCGAGTTTCCGTCCACCGGATTCGAAATAATAAGCCCAGGTCAACAAATCGAAGAAGAGCGACTACCCTTCTATAGACGCAATGACTACTATCCAATGCATATCGGTGAGGTGGTTCGTGGCCGCTACCAGGTCGTTGCAAAACTCGGCTATGGCACAACTTCGACTGTTTGGCTTTCTCGGGACCTTCAGTATGCATACTCTTATGTCCTTACGTACAACACCTGCTGATGAGTCTGTTTCTCAGAGAGAACAAGTACTGGGTGCTTAAGCTATATATCAATACCTTGAAGCATAACAAGGAATTCGAGGTTTACAAGCACTTGGCAAATATTTTGCCGCATCTTTCGGATGAACCTGGCCACGAAAATGTCCGCCAAATAGACGATTCATTTCAGATACAGGGCCCTAATGGTATACATGACGTCTTAATCATGAAACCGCTAGGAATGAGTATGAGAACGCTTCAGAATATGCAGAAAGGGAGAATATTCAAGCAGGAGGTCACTGCAAGGGCGATAGAGCAAGTGCTGCTTGGGATAAACTTTCTGCATGAGGCTAACGTAATTCATACTGGTGCGTCCTATCATCCCCTCCCTCATTTAATGTAGTAAGTGTGCTAAGTACCAGCTAGACTTGCATTCGGACAACTTATTAATTGCGCTTACGAGCGACACGATTCTATCGAAGGTGGAAGAGAATGAGATATATAAACCATCTGCACGGAAACGAATAGGCGACACTATTATCTATGTCTCTCAGTATGTATTGGGGGGTGCTGGCGCGCTGACAATTAGTGATTTCGGTCAGGCACGCATTGGCATCGAGCATATTGGAAAAGCAATGCCAATGCCGTATCGAGCGCCCGAGGTGATTCTCGGAATGCCATGGGGTCCTTCTGTAGATACCTGGAGTGTCGGCCTTTTGGTATGGCATTTATTCCCATTGTCATCGCTATAACTCTGCTTCTCGGGCATATTCTCTTTTTCTGATGCCTGCGTTAGGCCTGGGATCTTCTGGAGAAAGAGCCCCTCTTCCGAGTGTACGATCATGGATCTGAAGAGCAAAATGATGCCTGTCACCTTGCAGCCATGACAGCCATCCTTGGTCCTCCGCCACTCGAGTTTCTGAGGAGAAGCGAGGAAACAGGAAAATACTGGGATAAAGATGGTGCGTATTTTCCCATCTAATAGTTGGCCAGGTAGCACGTGGACCATTCAGCAGAACTCGTGCTAATCTACGTCTTCCAATTTAGGAAACTGGAAGGGTCAAGTTCGCTTACCTACCGAGAGAACACTAGAGTCTCTTGCAACTGCTTTAGAAGGAGAAGAGAAGGATTTATTTCTCAACTTTATCCAATGTTTGTTGTGGTGGGTTCCCGAACAAAGATTCACCCCATTGCAAGGCTATATGCATCCATGGCTAAGGGGCGGGAAACTGCCCCCGGCATAATTCACCTGGATCTCCACCTGATTATCGAATCTACTTTCGGGCTTCCCAAGCCGGCAGCTAATGTGTCTTCTTCCAACTACCTGCAAAACAGTCGGACTGTGCAAGAATAGTGATAGAATGGAATGATGGTGACGTCATCGCAAACACAACAGAGTAAATCCCAAAATGCCATGGCCCATTATACGGGACACTTGTGTCATGTATATAAGCTAACGATTCATCGCTGCCTTTGTCGTCACATTTGTCGCGCTTATACGGGGAGGTTTTGGGGACTTGTGACATGCTGTTGTAAGATGATCTATTCCTTGGCAGCTTCTACCGCTGTCTAGTCGTGTCCTTCTGGCCCATATCTCAAATCCCAGACTGCATCGCAATCCAGACAGTGGCAGTAACTGACAAACTGGAGGCTTCCGATCTTAGCTTCAGCGAAGCATTCATTGTACTCAGTGACTAAAGTGAGCGGCTACGCCTGTATTTATAATAGGTCCGGTGCCGACGTGAGCCCTTGTCATAGGTGTAAGCAAAGCTGCTGCTGCCGCTGATTATTTTGAGTCTTCTGAAGCAATTGAATTCGAGCCTGTTGAAGCTGTTGGATTCGAGCCTTTTGAAGCTGTTGAAATTGACCTTGTTGAAAACGTTGGCCTTTTATTTTCCTCTCCGGGAGCCCTGCCTGGGGCCGCCTGCGGAGCTTTGGAAGGTGCCTACAGCCCTCAACACCAAAACGGCAGGATCGCGATAACCCACAAAGATACGTACCGGCACCAATAATCGAGCCAAAAATAGTAGTTGAAGGCTAATTAGGCCAATTATAAATCGAATTGAACTACATGAGGCTTGTAATTATAGTGACGCAACACTCGGGAACTCTCATTAAAGAAGTAAAGCTGGCAGGTATATTTCATCTCTTTCCGAACTTCGACATTTCATTGTCAACAGCGCTTTTTAACAAGGGGGCCAGCCTGAAGCACCAATTTAGACTGCCTCCACATCTTAACACCTGCAGCCAAAATATGAAAGTATTGAATGACATCAGGCTTCTGCTATTCCATCTCGTCTACTGAGGCTTTACTGCCGGGTGCTCCATATCTGGGGCCTATTTCTTCACTCAATATTGGATTTGGAATTCCATTACTCTCGCCTTCAGTGCCTCTGGCACCGACGAATCGTCGCCGTTGAGATGGTCAGCGATGTGGTAAATGGACATGGGTTGTAAATCAAGAACAGCTCAACTGCGAGAGTATATTCACGCGTATAGCATTTGCACCGTTATTCTACGCAAGAATATACTCTTTCATGAAGACTTTCACTTGCTCAAGCTATCCCAATACTCGTGCAAGCATTGCATCAGGTATGGCCCGATGAAAGCAACGCCGTGTGACTGGTCGTGCCCAAACCAGAGAACCGTGACATTCCGAACAAAACACTGTAAATAAATGCATCGCGATGCGTGAAAAGCTATGACTCCTGTACCAAAAATCAACTAGCTTAGAAAGAAACGCTTTCCGCTAGTTTACCCCATCCAGCAGGGATATATATATTATATAGTAGCCCTAAAGGGGAGAATAGTATAGATAATACAATTCAATTTTGCACACATTACTCCCTACAAGGCCAGTTGAACGGATCCTAGGCATATAGGCACAAGGAAAAAAAAGCTTCAATAATTAAACAAAGTACACGACAGTTGAAACAATAAGCAGTATCGGGTGAAATTACGATCCAGTCCTCTTTGTGTTGTTAATCAGGTTTTCAAGGCTCCTTTGACCAAGTTGGTGGTGCTGAATGGCCGCTCAATAGCCTCCCTCACCCGCCTAGCGCACAGCTCTACCCGGCACATTTCCTGTCTTCAGCCGCTAGATAACTGTACCGTCCATCGCTATTGCAACATTTATTTACAGATTTCATGACATATCATTGATCCCATCGTTTTATGCAAGTGCCTCATCGTCGTTGTGTCGCCGATTTCGAACCGCTGCTCACGGTGTTAGTACATACAAGGTCGCTCCTGCCCGCAATTCAACCCTCCTTCCCAAAGTATTAATGTCATAATAGTACATATATAAGTTCACCTCCTCATGTGCTTCCATCTACCACCAACTCCACGTTATCATTCCTGATCCTTGCCGTTAGTCTCTCTATCTACCTTGCCCTTTATAGATCCTCTAGGCGTCTCGAGGCCCATCATGGCCGCAGCTGAAACCACAGCGATACCGGTAGCTCCCATGTTGTACGCATATTCTCGACCTGCCCACCAGTACACGCTTGTAAACAGTATCGGCCCAAGTCCACGTCCCAATTGTCCCCAACTTCTCAGAATGCCTAGCTTTCCCCCACGTTCGTCTTCACTGGCCTCGAAGCTGCTTAGCGCGTTTAGTCCAGTCACCACCGTCGCCGATGTCATTGCAAGACACGTCGCCGCAGCATACAAGCCACCAATACCACCGACTCTTCCTAGGAGGAAGAAGGCAGCCAAGCACGAAAAAACGCCGATTCTTACGGAGAGCAACGGGGGGAGTCGACGCGTCACTCCGCCTTGGAGAATGGATGCAACAAGACCAATATACCCCAGCAATCTCCCATTTTTACCAGAAGTGAACTCAAACAGTTCATAAGTCATGAATGACAGCGAACTTTCCATTCCAGAGAAGAATAGAAGAAAGAAGAAATGAACTGCATTGAGGACAAAGTGGGAATTTGTTCTCGCCGCTGGTTTGGCCTTCGTCTTCTCCGTGCTCTTGTCAGACTTGGCAGAGTTTTCAATAAGAGATGGCAGAGTTTCCGGTAAACAAAAGTATAGATATATCGTTTCGGCTACAATGAGAGCCAAGCTAAAAGAGGCAGCGGCTGCAAACGGGTTTGCAGCGACGTGAGATTTCGTGCTTAGCCAAGCACCCAATCCAGGTCCGAATGTGAAGGCAATGGAGAAGCAAGCTCCAATTACCGCCATGGTGGACCCTCTAGTCGACTCGTCTGAGATGTCACTTGCCATGGCAGTTGCTAGCTGGACATTTCCCTCAGATAGGCCTCCAACAATGCGGCTTGCGACAAAGGTGCGGAAGTCAATGGCCGCAACCCAAAGGAGCACCGAAAGCACGTTTCCGCACATGGACGTCAGTAGGGCGGTACGTCGGCCGTATCGGTCAGAGAGCCTTCCAATGAGGGGGGAAGCAATCGCTTGCAACAACCTATGCGCCATGATTAGCGCGGCTATGAGAGGGCTGTGCCATTGAGAAGGTATCTTGAATCCAGCGTACGAGAACAACGAGCCCATGGCTCCGCCAAGAAGAACAATATCATATCGAGAGTCGATGGGGCGTGAAAACGAAGCTTTGTATTTGTTGAGGCCCCCGAGGACCTGTTGCAGCAATGTTGGCGGCCCGCCCGCGATCAGCGACGGTGCTTCTCGATCTCGATAGAACTCTAGCAGCTTGGGGAAGAGTGGAAGAATGAATGTGAAGGAGATCTAAAGCCGGAATACAGGACAAGTTAGGAGTCGCTATATGCTGCCTAGCTCGCGGGAGGTGATTTATACCAGATCCAACAACAGCGATACCACAATCACCTTCAAGACTCTCTTCCTTGTCACAGGATCCACCGCTGCCATGGTGGTAATTTCGATGTGCAGGCTCGTACGTGATGTAAGCGCCGAGAAGGTCTCGAGAGAGTCGCATAGGTCACCAGAGTCAGTTAATAATCATGGAGAGAGAGAGAGTCACAAAGCTTCGTCAGTAACAGAAGAGAAGGATGGGTAATTCGAAAGACGACGGAGAGCACGGATATCAGACACGAAACGAAACCTAAGGAGGTTAGTTGTCAGACGGATGGATCCGCAGAGAAGCGAATCGGGAACAAGGAGTGGGCCGCCTTGACCCCCGGGACTCCTTGGCCTCCTTGGCCAACGGCAGAGGCCAATCTGATTGTACATGATGACCTCGACCATGCGGCGTTTGACGGGCATGGGGCGAGGCATGGGGTGACTCCATGATGGGCCACCAACTCCACTGGAAAGTGGGCCGCTTCGTCGTCAAGTTCTCACCTGAGTACTCCGTAGTTACATCGACATCCCATCTTAAAACTCCCAGGAGTCAGGACTCTCTTGCTCTCTCTCTCTCTCTCTCACTGGTAGCAACACAATCATCTTCTAGATGCACCGCGAGTACCTTTTTTTGGTCCAGTCTAATGCCGGAGCCGCTAGAGCTGCATTCACGAGCTGCATCAATCCCCGCACGAAGGCTTGGTACGCCGAGGAATATGGAATGATTGATTTGGCAGCCACAGCTGTGGCACTTCTCGATGCCTGACTTTTGGAGTTGCGGTCGCACCGAATCGGAATATAAACGACGTGTCTCGTATCAAGTGCGACACAGCTACATAATGTTGCTCAGGTCCAGGACTTCGGACAAAGAGCCGAGAACAACACATGCAATATCAACAGGGTGGTAAAGGACGTCATTGTGTTATGAAAGAAGCTTTTCGATCTACTCTGTCAGTCCGGTAATATCAAGAGCGGCCTTCTTTAAATGCTTGGTACAATTACTCACCACGACAATCTATCAGATGTGTATCCCACACCTTTTGGAGGAAAACAAAGCAACGGAGGCGGCTGGCTTGTCTTGACCATCCTCTAGAGAGTTTTCCACTGATAAGTTTAAGCAAAAATTTCCATCGTCGGATAAGTTGTTGGAGATGCTAGGCTTAGCAGGTGTGCGGTCAAGGTATTTCACACCAGACTGCATATTGTTTCCCGGGAAGCTTGGGGTCTCTACACATCGATTAATTCAACCCTAATTCGTTTCATAATTGTCGTTAATATCATTAATTACATAGGAGATACCGGTTACGCCATCATGGTACAAATAAGGGCTCACTAGATTGCGCATATCATACCCCCGACCATTGCAGCCGCCCATGACATACTCTCAGAGGGTAACATTGGTAGCATTTCCCCCCAAATATTTACCTTCGGATGAGTCAACTCTGGCTACACTCAAGACAAACCGTATACCTTCCGACCCCTGGATTTGTGTTAGCCAACGTCCTACCACATCTCGTTGTCTTGGGCCAAGAGCTGTACCTTGTAAGGGATGGGGATAAAGTAGTCAGACGCTATTTGACAATCTCGCGGGGTCGTTTTAAAAATGTTCAAGACTCCAGTATCCCCAGGACGGACATCAACACCATTTCCCCACTGACGGAACAGTTTGGCCAGTAACAGGTACATCTCCGCCAGCGCAAGGGCCTTACCCAAGCAGCTTCGCGTTCCACCACCAAATACTGTCAGATATTTCTCAAGTCGATCCCCATCGTCAAGCCAGCGCTCGGGGTGGAATCTTAATGGGTCTGGGAATATCTCCTCGTCCATGACAGTCATATGCGGGCTCATGCTAACCACGGTCCCTGCAGGGATCCGCCACTCTCTCACCCTTTCATGGTCATGAACAAGGAATGCTTCATCCAAAGCAATTCGGGACAGCCTTCCACTCGTACCAATATTATAGCGGAGAGCCTCTCTAACAACGGCTCGCAAATACGGCAAACTTTCCAATTTCGCCAGCGGTGTAACTTCATTGGCATCAGGGATAGCGACAAATAGTTCATCCCGGAGCTTTCGAAGCGTTGATTCTTGATTGACAAGATGGAATGTCGCCAGTGATAGAGCCCACGAAGACGTAAGAGTGCCTCCTTGCACCAGAATTTGTCCTTCTTGGGCTAGTCTGGCCGGCGTCTTCTCACAGTCCGGAAGGTGATCTGAAGAGAGCAATTCATGAAAAATGGTTGGATGGCTCACGTCCAGCTTCCATTGTCCTGTGTTCTCTGTCGACTTGACCTTTTCTATTTGCTTAAGGATATCGTTCTTCATCCTCAGAAATCCTGACCAGCCTAGTTTGGCGTTAGCATCGTGTTGAAGTTTCGGACTAGTACGCTCATACCTGGAATCCATTGTGCCGAAAGAGACTCAGGTATACTATTTACCAGGGTGAGAGCCCAGTTTGCATGCTTGACTATCAGTCCCATATGAGTTCCCATCAATAAATTGTCAGTCACTTCGCGGCCAAAATCTGGGCGTTCAACTATAATGTTGTTAATGATGCTTCGGAAAAATTTGGGCAGATAGGAACAGACTTAGGTGATCGCTTAGAGCAAAAGCATATTCATTAATGACATCTTTACCAGTTAAAGTTAGTTATGCTGCTAGCCAGCAACACCTGACCGTTTCCAAAACACATACCGTTCGTGAAAGCTGAGAAAGGATACATAATGTTGATTGGCGTGCCACATTGAGTGGCAGCAAACTTGTGGAGGGCTTCAAGAAGACTGTCAACTCGTTCTTCGATGACTGGTTGGAGGTTTCGAACACTATGAGTCGAGAAGAATGCATTGAGAACCGACCGCCGCAGCCTGTGGTGATCATGATCGATAGTTGCGAGGGAACTGTCTATTAGAGGCGTCAGATATCTATATCTGGGCAGCAAACTCCTTGCCTATGGTCCTTACCTGGAGCTCCAAACTACAACAACTGAGTTAACTTTTTACATTGCTATCAAAACTGGCCAGGGACACTACTCGCCTGTTTTGTCCAGAACTTCCACTTTTGCCGTGGCCTGGTTGGCCCTCCAAACAAATCAGAGTGGAAGTCATGCTCTCTAACATGCACCTCCCAAGGGTTGATACGGACCACAGAACCGTACTCTTTATGCAGTTCCATAATTTTGAAGGTGTATTTGCCGCCGAGGACAATATCATAATAGAACTCATAGTACTGCGTCAGCGCCGCAAGTCTTGGCCCGGGTATATGGGCAATAGGACTGAGCCAAAGCCTCTGCACAGCAAGAACAGCAGCATATCCAAGCCAAATGACGAAAACAACAGCCAGCGTCTGCCCCCAAGTGATGGTTGACCAATAAGTGTCGATAGCCATATTTGAAGAGAGGGAGCCCCGGATAAGCCAACCAGAGTAGGATACAAGATCCTGCTCAACCACGAAAGCGTCAGCGTTATATATCTCAAGTTCAGCTGAAACTCTATCAACTGCCGACAAGACCAAGGTGGGGAACCAAAGCACTGTCCCGTTCGATGTGACGAGTCATTCGAGGAGTTGCAAGTAGGGTTGGGATAGGAGCGCCACTCTGAAATCCTGGTTCCGCCACATCGACATAGCAGTTGCAAGAAAAGCCACCTCGTTGTCAGCTCTGTCGTCTTCTGATGTCTTTTTCGTTCACCACATTCCGACAGGTGCCAAACGGGTCCAGTCGTTATCCTTGTCATCGTGCCATTGTGGAGCGTCTTCCCAAGCCTTAAGAGGCGGTGACCCCGTCTGGACAACTCAGGAGACGGCAGCATTTGCGGCTATAGTATTATGGCCCCGGTGGAAGACTGTGTACAAGAGTCAAGACGACGAACATATGAGCCCCAACGGCCGAAAAGGAAGCGGGCGTGTTTCTTTATTGAGACAAGCTCAGCAATGATATTCGAAACTCCAATGCCCAAAATAGACAGGGTGGCCCGAGACGGCGGACATGCTTGTGTCAAACGGCCGAAACTACCTCGGAGAAATGGGGACGGCTCATGCAAGTGAGTTGTGATGATGGACAGCGGCAAAACGCACAACATCTGATCGCGTATCGAACTACTCGCCCAGTCCAAATGCCGAGATGAGTTGCATGATCGGTTCGTCGACTCCAGCCGGGCGCAGTTGTGCTCATTCTCCAACCCTGACAAATCAGACTGCTCAAGGTGAAGATGAAAATAAAATCCAAGGTGAAAAAGTTGGCACTTTGGGTTCATGGACGGCCCGTAGTACAGGGACCGCCGAAGTTCCTGCCTGCATATTTGACAGCCCCGGACAACCAACTGCAAGGGGACTGACTGAGTCTTCCCATGAAGGAGCCAATTGGAATAAGCGGCGTCCCGGAGTTGCCTGCGCTGGTTTGCATATAGGATGGTAACACTGCTCGAGCCCTAGGCATTCACAAAGATGATTGCAACCTAACATCACACATTGGTTTTCTTCGATGAGAAAATTCCATCATTTGTCACCATCCTGCTATACGCCTACGGATACGAGAAGAGGTGAAAACGGCACACAGCGTCTTCGTGAAATTGGAAGATCGGCACCAAGCAGCGTCGCACTACAGTTGATCGCTGCCTTCGGTCAGAGCGAAGCCTCAATTGGGCAGCGATACTCCAAGTTACCACGTCACTTTACTCTTGGGCTCCTCATGGACATGTCGAATAGTCTAGATGGCGAGCCGTGAGCGGTGAGTTATAGAT